AAACCACAGAATTTAACAAAAACCCACACAAAAAATGAGGAGAGCATTCAAACTTTATATGAAAAAGTACCCAAAGTCTCAGTCGAACCCTGAAACTGTAATGCAGCGGTGCTGGCCACTACACTACTCCCCCACCTCACTCAGAGTCACCTACTGTACGTATGTGGGTGAAAACTATATTTCTTAGTAACAAACATCTATAGATTTTTAAGAACAGAAAATATTGTTAATTTTTTTGTCATGGCTTGCCTGATGATTTTATTAGTATCTTGTGTAGAGTTTTAAAGTGTTTATGAATAGTGATTATTCTGTTTTCTCTCTTCCTGTTTTCAATTAACTAAAGTATAATAGAATATTACAGATGTTGTTTTTTTTAAATGAATCTGTATAACACTGGAAATCATATAAAATAGAAGAAAATAAATGTTTAATAGTCAACCCTGAATATATATTACTAAAGTAAATTTTATGTCAATGTTGTTATAAACAAAATGATCAAAAGTGTTGTATTAGCTGCATTTTGGTTTGACATTTCTATGATGATGCTAATATCTTTAATTTTAGGGGTGGAGCGGTGGCTCTGTGGCTAAGGATATGCGCCTGTGGCTGGAAAGATGCCAGTTCAAATCCTGTGGCTGGCAGAGGAATTCTACTGCATTAGGCTCCTGAGCAAGACCCTAAACCCCAACTGCTCCAGGTGCCGTATAAATGGCTGACCCCGCGCTCTGACCCCAAGCTTCTCTCTCCTCATCATTGTGCCTGTGTGTCTCATGGAGAGCACAAATGTGAAAAGACAAATTCCTAATGCAAGAAATTGGATATGGCTAATAAAGTGAACTTAAAGAATGAAATGTCCTGATGTAATGTTCTCTATTGCAGTACTTCACAGGGCTGTACACAAGAATCTAATAGGCAGTCTAACAAGAGTTTGGGGAAGTCCCATAGCAGTATAAGCTGAGGAAATATAAGGAGCTTGATCAGCAAGAATCTGGTTCATTTACAAGTTTAAGTACTTGAATTTCACTAGTGTTATTCAGTACTGAAGTTCAGCAGCCATTGATCCGTCCTACAAAGTCAAGGGATTACAAGAATTCAGAATTTAAATGATCATCAGTACATTTGTTGTTAATGATTAAATGTCAGAAATATGTGTTATATTTTGCTTTATTGTTTTTAATTCTGTTACCTAGAATAGAAAACTTTATCCTCACATCCAAACATTAATGAAACAATAAAAAAGATTAGAATACCCTGCAGTTAGTTATATTGTCATGAAAAGATTAATGTTAAATGTTTAAATGACTCACCATGAGAGCCCAGCTCTCCCGTGACATAGTTGAATGATTGAATATGAAAGAAGACAATACCGGAAATCGCCTAAAGATGGTGTTTTATACTACAAAAATGTTTATATTCATTTGAAGCAGGTGTTAAAAACATTGTTTTCAGTTTGTTGTCTCATCAATGCTATAGATTTCCACAATTTTAACGCTTGTTCAAACCTTTGTGGTAAATGGTACTAAATGACCAAAGGAATTTAAAACAAACAACAAAATGAAGTTTTTATCTGACAGTTTTATCATCCAGGCTTTTCAGAGAGAGCCTACACCACTGTGCACAGCAAATTCCATTCTATCAACACTAGCCAAAGGCATAAACAATAGCTGCAGTAACATATATATATATATTCTACTCAAGAACATCTGATGCTTCATATTACTTTCAGCTGATGATTGCTTTACTACTCTTTAGCAATTTTACATGTTCACTTTAGAAGTTTGCTTCTTCAATTAGAGACAATTAGATTGATTGGACCGAGTTTGTGTGCATAAACGCAGATAGGTTGAAATGATATGATCTCGCCGGACAACAAACAGATCTAAAATCAAAGACTTTTCAGTGGTACAGTAAGTGGCACAAATCACTATGGCTTTAGAACTCAAATTTGGGCAAGCAGGATTTTTCATGCAGGAGATTAGATTTAGCCATGGTTTGTTTCATTGGGCTCAAAATATGTGTTAAGATGATATTTTTTAGCAGGAGAAAAACATCTGTATGATGTTCGTTTGGTTTCAGTGGAAAAATAGTTATAATGCTGGTCACTGCTTTTGAAGAATAAATAATGATTTGTAATTCATATTTGAAAGACCTTTTGTCTAACACAAGTATTTATTAAAGGCAAGGGATTAGATTTTAAGAAGCAAATCCCAAACAACTCTTTACTTGTGCAGAGGCAGAGATTTAATTTTCATATATAATTGTTATATTCAGTTGTGCTATAATATACATACTTTGAACACAACTACCTACAAATTATTTTATAAAGATTTTCCAAAGAAAATTTGCAGGGTTTGTTTTCCAATACTCTCATGACATTGTATATTGTATAAAGTCACTTGAATAATTGTGCTGGGCCTTTGTTCAGTTTGTACTGTGGTGTTACACAGTAATGTTTTGTTAGGTTTTGCATCAATGTCCTGTGTATTGTAAGATCAGTTCTGTGATAGAAATGTGATAGTTTGATGTGCTGAAATGTATTCAAAGCTATTTTTAATCATAAATCACTGCAATTATTTTATTTTGTGGAAAAACAAATGTCAGGTCCCAATAGTCCCCACATAAATCCCTGTGATGTCTGATTTGATCTGTTATAATCATAGTGCGCACAAAAACACAATGTAATGTACTTTTAAATAGCTTAAGCTTTTTTCATTTTTAAATAAATGTGAAATGCATAATTCTGAGCTCCTCTTTAGAGAACTATCAACATACTTTGAAACTGCACTGGCTTTAACATCGTAAGTGGTATGTACGTGAAACAGTAAAAGAGCTAAGATTTATATAAAGACATACAGTATATATTTATACAAACATGGTGCACAATGCCACAGATGTCCTATGCACAGAAACCCACTTTATATATTGTATGAATTTATAGTAATTCAAGTTAGTTTTGGTGATGCAAAGAAATCAAAAGACCGCTTCAAGCACAGACAGGAAATGGGGCAGATTGCTCCCATAGCTTAAAGCTTCAAAAAAATGAAATATAAATTTTACACAAGCATAAATGCTAATTTAAAAATGACAGGTATTCATCCACTTGTATCTTATTTCCACTCATGCATGTCACTCGGGGATTTTTCAAGCAGAGGAAATAAATTAATTTCTGGTGTATCTGGTATATCACCTGTGTTTGTGATTTTGCATTAGCTAAGACGGCATTAATAGCTTATTATACAGAATTAACTTGAATTAATAATTCACGTTAATTCTTCTGAACATATTCTTTTTTAAGGATTACATTGATACATTCACATGTATCAACAAAATGTTTGGGGTATAAAACATCTGAAACTGAAATTCATTGTACATTAGTTTTCTTTTCTAAACAATCTGTTAGTTGGTACTGTATATAATTTACTGTATAGAGTAATAAAGGTCATTTGTTCCAATAAAAGGCAGAAACATAACTAAATTAAGCATTTAAAATTATTTTCAAAAACAGCATTATAGCTTTTTTATTAAAAATATTCACATTTATTTTGTTTCTCCTTCAAGTACAAACGTGTCTTGTTATCTCTTTGTAGGCAACATATGTAAATTCAGAGTTAAAAAGATGCTAAGAAGAGCAGTGTTGGTATTAACAATGTAAACAGCCATTTTATTTTGTCAGAAGAAATAACCCAGTTTTCACTGTTACTAATATGACATGAAACATAGAATCGGTTCCATGTTCACTTGTCAACAAGTGAAATAAGGAGCAATAGCCAGGGGAGAGTTAGCTGACATATACAATGTTGCAAAAGGCAATTCAGTGCCACAGAAATTGCATTAAAAGGTAAGTAAGTTATTATGCGACCACTGATTGTTTTTTTACATTAGTTCCCAGGTGACAGGACACTGCATTTACGTTCACAATTTAATTGCAAAAGCTTAAGAACCAGCGTTGGCTGCTGTGAAAAGCATGACACAGATGCAACAATTAGAGAAAGTCAAATGTACTGCTACCTTTGTCTGTCTGCGAGAAAACAGGATCCATTTCCAGAAATCAGAGTTAAAGAAATAACCTGAAGGGTTCGCCCATTCTGTGTTTTTTTCCTCTCCTTCCAGAAGTCCAGCATAAAAAAAAAAATCAGAACAAAATACAAAAACACAGCTGTTACAGATGAGAAAGCTGGCTTGATCAGTCTAACGCCATGATCCTTCACAAAGGTCTGCAGCCGGAATGTTATTCTTTTCAGAAAATCAAGAAATGAAAGAACAATAAAATAAAAGAAACCGACTCCTCTTCCCAGCACAGCGCACAGCAACTGCACCTCATGTGTGGTTTGATTCCACTGAGTGGAGACAGACTCTAAGCTGTGGGTCTGACAGATAACGCTTGCGAAGAGCATTAAGATTCAACAGGAGTATGAAATCACTGGGCATTCCCACACATTCATACACAATCAAACAGCCGGGAAACTGCCATTCCAGGTTTCACATTGATTGCTGTCAGCAATCTGCATTTTGATGTCAATTAGCCCCCACCTGCTTTTATCCAATAGACTGTTTATTGATCTGATTTTGTGACCTTCAAGAAAAATTAACTAAATTTACAGACTTCTAAGGCACAGTAAAAAAGAAAACTGTTTGTGTGTTCAAATCCATAAGTAAGTTTATTAAATATTACAGTAATAATTAAATATTACAGTAGATTCTGATCGCTGGTAAGTACTTAAGAATGTGCTGCAGAAATTAAAGCATTTTCATTCCTTAAACTGGTATTCCTTGCAAATTATTTGGTTTATAAATGAAAAGCCCCTAGAGCTGATATTGAAATGATGTAGCTTTTAAGTTTTTATCGATTCTATTATTTTATCAATTTAACGAGCACACATTTGTATTAAACTGACTTTATCCATCAACCCCCAAGCCTGTTTATATTTCTGTGTGGGCTTGTGGGGGGGTCTGCTGCATGAGTACAGTATATCCATGGACTTGTATCTCCCACGGATATAAATATCCAAGAAAGATCTTGACCTTCAATATCTTTCATGTATATTGAGTGATGAGAGAATCTGAGAAAATGACCTATTTTCTGGAAATCGACTTTCGAGTTTTAGTTATAACGGACTCTGTGGTTTTTGGCTGTGTTTGAAATATTTTTAAGAGCTGTTGATTTCAGATAAGCATTAAAACATATAATAATTAAATATTATATTATTTGATAATGTAAGTGATTGCTTTCCCTGACTGCACAAACAATACTACATCTTAAAATGATTTCCAGATTTTAAAAGTTATAAAAATTATAATAATCATTAATAATTATAATCAGCAGCACCATATGACTGACATACATTAATTAGACATTATATATAACGACTTCACTTTTACATTGACAACTGTTTGCATTTATTGTTAGGAGCAGCTAAATCTGTATTATTGTGAATTTATTGAAATAATGTTTTTGAATCTGCTATGCATGGATGGATGTTGTTTTAACCATCAATAAGGCGATTGAAGTCAAATGTAAAATTATTCGTATCTGTCCTTCCTTGAAGGTTAAGTCAAACTGTTATGTTCTTTAGTAGATTTATTAGTTTCATGCCATGTACATTTATGAATATATTTTCATTATATTCTCTTACACTTCATAGGTTTCAGTAATATTGTTTTTTAATAGAAGAGACATACAGTAAGTAACAATTCCACTAGAGGGAACAATCTAACAACTGAGTTCAGGTGATAAGAAAGTACTTTTATGTCTCAGGTTCTGTTGTTTCAGTGGCATACCCACAGTGAATCTTTTTCTTTTGGTTTTATAAGCATGTCCATCATGCACAATTGGAGTCCAGCCTCTTTGTGCAGTACAGTATTTGGCAACACTCTTTATATGGCAGGGAATCATAGGTGTAGTTTTATTAGTGTCTTTAGATATAAACTTCTAACATATATTAAACATATCTGTGTTATATGCAGAAACTTTAACTTTATTAATAATCACTAGTATTATTATTGTCGAGTTTGTTTTGCTGATGCAGTAAATCACTCTTTTATATAAATGTAAAAGTTTATGAATGTTGATTTCAGGTTTCTGATTATGTATTTCTATGCTTTTAATGATTACACTAATATATTCACAGCTTGGTAAAAAAAACAAAATGTTAGGGGTTTAAACCAAAATACTAATGCATTTACAGCTGATACTCATACTTTCATATTCGTCTACAGCAATCTTGCATATAAATTACATAATAGAAATACATAATAATTATTATTATTAAATTAGCCCACAATCTTTATAATCCCAGAACTGCAGAAAGCACCTTAAAGTAGCTCAATTTGACCAATGTAACCCTCCAGCACAGGTCAGAAGCTACTGATGATTTAAGGTGAGCTAAAAACCTATTGGACTGTTGTCCTGATGGGCTTGACCTTGGAGTTCTGATGCAGGCTGTTCCCAGGTGGTAGATACTATTAAAATCTTATTTTTAGTTGATGACTGTCATCCAAACATTACTGGTTCGAGGCTGGGCTATATCATCAGCTAATTATGACTGCATTTTCCAAACAGCTGCACAGGTTGGACTTAAGCTAACTAGAAAATACTTGGCCTGTCATACAAAAGCAGAACACAAAATAAAGTTTCCTGATACCGCAGTTGGTATCAGACAGTAGTGGGTTCAAATCTTGGGTATATACTGTTGTTCCCTTGAGTACAGGTTTTCACCAAAACTGCTTCAGTAAATGTCTTGCTGTATAAATGAATTTCCTGTTAGTCATTGTAAATGATAATTTACTTTCAACTCCCTTACCTGGTAAAAGAAAGAAATCAAAAAGCATCCTAACTGACATAATGGAGCATCTGTGAGCTTGCAATATTATCAGTAAGAGCCACAAGACTCCTCATATCAATGCTAAGTCTCCAATGTGTGCAGTCAGGCTCGCAGTGTAAAAAATAACAGGTGGCTCTCACAATGTATATTTTGAAGCAATGCATGGTTTTCATAACGCCCATGCTGATAGGTCTCCATTACTGTGGCTTTATTTGTCACATGTAAATCACTTTTCATTTTGTGAATTTTCCTTCTTTGTAAATGTACAGAAACAGCTGTTGTTGCCTTTTTCTTCTCGACAGGTAAATAAATTGAACAGAAAGTGATTGCCAGATGAATGTTTTTCTCACATGACTTCAAATGTATTGATAGAGCCTAAATATATATATATTTTTCTACAAAAGTGCATACATTGTCCTCATACACTAAAGACATATAATAAAACATGTGATTTTTTAACATTAACATGAGGCACAGTTTTGCAGATATATCCTGTATGAGGCAAATGTGGATTTTTATGAATTCCACATAATATTTTGGTTTGGTCCCCTGAGTTCCATCTTATGATGGATACCTTTAATTTGTTTTTTAACATTTACTTTTTTAAGTGGTTTTAGACCAGCATGATATCAGATACATTTTTGATAAGGAATCAGAGTAGTCTATATTGCCAAAAGGAGTCACAGTGTCTATCCGTGTGAGACAGCCCCTGTGGCTGTGGTAGGCAGAGAAGCTACAGTAGGTTTCAAACGATAGTCTTTGAAATGGAGAAATTTGCTATTTGCTGCATTTATAAAAAAATTGTGAAGGGTCTGCCGAATTCTAAAAGGAAGGCACATTAAACATCAAATTACTAGCTGCATCAAACTTCCACGAGAAGGTTTTTAACTAGGTTCTGTACCACAATGCACATGTTGTAATGGATTGAAGATGATAAGCATGCAGTATTACTTTCAGCAATAATGTAATTATTAATTCAGTAATAATGAAAACTTTTGCAAGTCACTGTTGTTTAGTTGGAAGCTATACAGGTTATCACCACAAAAAAATCAAATGAAGTATTAAATCCCTTAATAAAGGCAACATAATATAAAAATGAGGTTTTATAAGGTATGTTTTATTATTAAAAGCAGAAAGCTAAGAAAAACTGTCTTCACATGCCAGCTGACCCAAACTGTGGATTATCAACCAAGCCATTAACTTAATACAATTTGTCAACCCAGTCAAAAGGAAATTAAATGCTGGAGGTGTTTTAATTAATTCTATGAACATGATTTGTTTCTCAAAATATTTGCTATTGTTAGCAATCACAGGGGAGGTTCTCAATGTCAGATGACAATACTAAAAAAGCCTTTTAAATATCTATTTTTATTTTTAGCATGTTAAAGTTAAATAAAAAATGTCTAATTTGTTCCACTCAACTGCTTTTTCTTCCAATATTGTAGTAACTGGAGACCTCTGCAAATAAACCTTGTGCAGTACTGTAGATGTTATTAATTTCTAGTGTCCTAGCCAGTTAGTACAGTATGACAAATTCTCCACCTAATATGGTTAGGGGGAATCACAGTCTGTGACTTTTCATATACTTTTGAATTCCAACCCTTATCCCTTATACAGACTGTGAACCTGACCGGCAGTCAGTTTTGGATTTTGTTTGGAGCCATTTGGAATCTGCAACTCTGTGTTTTCACCTTTGTAACTCATGGCTAACAACACCATATACTTCATATACAGGGCAGAATGAAGAGGAGGTGGCAGACACCTCTGTCCCACCACTCTTTGAGCTACTTGTCTTTGAACATGTCACAACCACTACAGTCTGTAGTGGTCAGTGATTTGTGAATCCTGGTGACAGGTGATGCAAAAAATGCTTGAATCTATAGTACAAAATCTGCATCCATTCCACCACTATAGTAAGCTGTTCTGTTTCGAACACAATGGGAAAACTATCTTTTGTGCAGTACTGTATGTAAACAACTCTCCGTTGTACGAGCTTTTAAAAATATTATAACACTTACAAGCACTCACTTGTAAGAAAAGAAAGAGGCTGTGGAATTTTTAAATTATTTCACCTGGATTTGTTGGAAAATGCTCTGTTCTTGAAGTTTTTGATCCAAGTACTCATGTACTAATAATATACTGTAATAAAAATCAACTACTACACTATACATTTCAGAATGGAAACATTCTTTCCATTTTAAAAGCCTTTTAAAATTTCTTATATTACTTTTGGCCTATGGATCCTACTTGCACTCTTTTATCATTCCCTTTGCTGTAGTAAATGCTCCTTCTACCCTTCACCTTCCTTGTGTGTTATTACAGCATGATTTTGACAGTTTATTTGATGCTTTAAAATTTCACCTATGTAAATGTAATTAACTTGTCATTCATATAATATGTATGGTTTAAGAATAAATCACCATGTAATTGACAAGTACTTGAATTTTTTAGTAGTTTGTGTTCATTATTGTCCACCTACTGCATTAATTAACCATTGTTTATGTAGTAAAGTATCCATAGATTAAACCAGTT